AATTTCCAGTGCAAAAACAGCCCTTAAAAGTTCGCTGTTCACTATTTTTATCACTAGATGCCTAAAATCTCAATTTGTTCGAACATGGTGAGGCTTTTATGGATTTTTTTTTGTATATTTCAAATTGTGAAACTTTTGTGTTCTGTAATTTTTTTAAAAGCTTAAGTACTTAATACCTCGTCTAAGCACGACGACGATCCGGAAAATATATCAAAATCGTTAAAAAATGCTCCGACTGGGAATCGAACCCCAGACCTTGCGTTCGAGACTTGTCTATTTATCATCTACCCACTATAAAAAGTAGGGTCGGAGTACTATCAAAGCTCGTTTTAGATTTTATTCTATTTTATCACAGCTAATAAATTAATACTTTTCAACTTTAAAGATGATTCCTTTAAAACGTTTCGAGTTTGATGTCATTGAGTTGGCGCCTTAGGTTGGCGCATTGCACTGATGCCCATTGGAAATCCTATCGATTTGGAAAATCTACTGGTGATTTACTTTTTTTACAGAGGATGCGTTTGCTTTGTAATCAAAAGTAAATTAATGTTGCGAGCTTACAACTACAAGCAGTCGGCAGTGTAATTAGTGGACTCCAGTAGACGGAAATCAAGTTCCACTAAAATCAGACCAGACAGTGTATTCTTTGGGATTTGCACCATTTGAACGAGATTGGTTAGTGAGCTTGTTGATTGCCTAAGTTACGATTCTGGATCAGGGTTGCCAGATATCAGCTAACTCAATTCGCCTAATTTTTCCTACCGAGTAGCCTAAATCCTGCCTAAATCGCCTAATATTTTTTTTTCCTGAAGTAGCCTAATTCGCCTAACATTTTGAGGTAAGTATACAAAAATACATATCAAATCGACACATTAATGACAAACAGCTGTTTATCTCTTTCTAACTTACCCACCATGGTGACGTATGAAAAAAGAGATAGATAATGTCTGGTTAGCCTACTCAACTACTCTGGCAACATTTTTGTGACGTCACTAACTACCTGACTTGTGCCAAGTACATGTCGCAGTCGGATTGTATAATCCGCCGTTTTACATTACCACTAGGCATTTTACATTACAGCTCTGTTTTGTAATACGGCGGTTCAACGTTTAGGCGGATTGTCATTGCGATACGTTCTTCAATACGGCGGCCCACGTTTAGCCGCATCGTACTATACCTTGATNATTGGAAGAAAAAAATTCTATAAAAAATTAAAAAAAAATCTCAAAAATTTTTTGACCTCTTTTTTGTCGATCAAAATAGGTCTAGTTTCATCTATTTTCATATGTACACTTTAACGTGACTCACACTGGTAGACTAACCCTATGCTGCACCATCTGACTTATAACAAACGTCAAGCCTGTCAAACTTCATACAAAATATCAGTTGTAGTTAAGAGTTCCGGTTAAAATGAAGGGGATGCCACTTAGGCTGGATTGCACCATCTGACTTTAACTTTAACAAATATCAAGTCTGTGAAACTCCATACAAAACAACGCTTATAGTTATGGTAAAAGTTAAAGACTGTGCCACTCAGCCTTAACCTAAGTATATACCTATATTAATTTAAGATGAAAAATCGTTGAAAAATTCTTGTAGTCTCAGTATTAATTTGACTTTTTTATGTAAGACAAGGCAGTCTAGGATGGTACATATTTTATTTGCCCTGTAAGTGCCTATTCCCTCTCGCCTTGAAAGGCCCGGATTATAGTGTTCAGAAAAGACAGCAGCAGGCAGCGAATTCCAGTCCTTAGCCGTTCGAAATACAGTCAACAGCACATCAAACTATCCATTGTTATGGTGAAATAGCTTCTATTGCAAGTAAATAAGAAGCCAGTGTTACGCTTGACGCGCCGGCGCCAGCACTACCGCATTATCACAGTATTGTATTACAGATCGTAGTACTAATATACTTCAGTCTGACACATGCAGATTAGCAATTAGAATTCAGTCAAATTGTTGATAATAATACGATTATAATGATGTTTTTAGCCTAGGACGCAGACCACCGATTTTTCGTCGGCCGATAGTTTAGTCGGGCAGTTGATCAGTATGGGCATGTATGGAAGTGCGCACATTACGCCGATTTGATTTTCATACAAATTATCGGGCCCAACTATCGGCCGACGAAAAATCGATGGTCTGCGCCTAGGCTTAGTTTTACGCAGTAATGTTTTTGATCTACATTCATAATCTACTTTATTAATAAATTGATGGCTGACAACAGTGACTGAGTTTCTTGCGCTGCTTCTTCTCAGCACTGGCCCATTTTCTGTCCCGAAGCAGTGGTAGGGTTAATGTTGGGACTTGTACAAATGTTTTTTAAAACTACTTGAAAAATAAATAAGTTTTAAGTTGGTAATAGTCCCGTTACTCACTGAGAATGAAATGCACGCAGGCAAAGCCACAGTCAGAAGCTAGCATAGCAAAAAACGCAATAATTAAGGAAGGAAACCACAATATCACAAACTACAATGATGTCATAGTCGCACTGAAAAAAAAAAGGAATGCAACGAGACGCACGCAACACGCGTTCGGTATTACGGTATGTGCTCACTGTGAAGTATGAAAAAACAGCTAAATATTAATGAGTGGCAGTTTTGGATGGACAGGCTGAAAGAAAGCCGATAAATTGAAGACGTTTCAATGATTTTTTTTTATAGTTTTTCATGAAGTCATTTTTAAATCGCCAGATAAAGTTACTTCTCCTGTTGATGTCGTAAACGACTAAGGGACAAATACGCGAACATCAGGCCTCCCCAACTCGTCTGGCCAGCGTGGGGAGTGTAGGCCAAATCCTCCATTTGCCTCTGGTAAATTAGAGGGTCCTGCTCCTGCAGTGGAGACTGAATGACCTGATGATGATGATAATTCGTTCCCTCTGCTAGTTCACAGGCAAATATCAGTAATCATAGTATGCATGTCTAATGTAAAACCATCTTTAGTATCAAAACCGGTCGCATAAATTCAAATACACGAAAGCGCCGCGCTCCATTTGTTTGGCATTACCAGTAACTTTTTTTTTTTTTTTTNTTTTTTTTTTTTTTTTTTTTTTTTTTTTTCTACGACGCGACTGGTTTTTGACATTTCGCGACCTGGTTGATCCATGCTGTCCCCAGCATGAGTTTTCATGCTTTCCTGAGTAAAAAACTCATTTTATTTTTGCAAGTCTTTTAAAAAACACTTTTACACATCCCCGTATTAACCCTACCACTGCTTCAGGACAATAAATGGGCCAGTGTTGTCGTTTGCCATTTCTTTTAATTATTATTTTTTAAACTTTTGGGCATTGGTGTGCGTAGTTTTTTTTTCCATGGGCGTTTTAACATTGGCTTGAAAGAGTAGAGCATCCTTAGCATTCTGAAAATAATGACGTTTCAGCATTTACTATATAAAGAAGTTTGAAAAACTTGACCTTCACTGATTGGGTTTTTATTGTTGGTCAAGCTGTAGATCCTGGCTACACAGCAGTTTCAGCGCTGGGAACGAGAGGTGGGAATAGTCCCGTATGACGAAGTCTGATTGACGGTAAAAAAATACGAGTTATAATGTATTTGTAACGTATTATTTGCAGTAATAGGTAATCAATATTTTAACTGATGTATTAATGACTCTTTTAAATTAATTGTTGCATAACTAAAATAAGAAGTAAAGTATCATTTATCTATTACTGTAATTAATTTTACAAGTCATTAACAATGTCTCTCAATTAATTTAATGAAAACAACTAATTATTGTAAAAATGTGAACAGTGTAAAAATATAAATCTTTGTTTTTATTGATTTTTTTATAAGTGAATAGACATTTTCATTATCATTTCAGCCACAGGACGTCCACTGCTGAACATAGGCCTCCCCCAATGATTTCCAGATTGTCCGGTTGGCAGCGGCCTGCATCCAGCACCTTCCTGCTAACTTTATGAAGTTCGTCTGTCCACCATATATGGGTAAGCTCACGCGTTACGTTTTCCGGTACGTGGCTTCCACTCCAGAACCTTACTGCCTTACTACTATGTGCCGTGTCCATAATCTATACTTATAATAAATCTGTAGAGAGGTCAATTCTGTACATGAAATATATTTTCAAAATAACTATCAGGGTGATTAGTGATCGATACTGATGCCAAAAATGCAATCAGTAAAATTTTTGTCTGTCTGTCTGTATGTCTGTCTGTATGTTCCTTATAGAAACAAAAACTACTCGACGGATTTTAACGAAACTTGGTGCAATTATTCTTCATACTCCTGGCCAGGTTATAGTATACTTAGGAATTCCCACGGAAACGGGAAAATCCTTTTGTATGAAAAATCTAAACGCTTGAAATTCGGCATACAGGTACCTTAGTAAACTTAAAGCTTAGATACAATAGGATATTGCAAAATTCCCACGTGAACGGGAGTTAGCGGGAAAAAACATTTGTATGAAAAAATCTAAACCGAGTAAGATAGATGAAGGGGGTAAAACGGGATCCACGCCGGCCGCTAGTAGATCGTATTCTAGTAATTTTTAATTTAGTGATATTGTGATGTAATATAGAGCAAACACGTATTTAGTTAGTTTTTTTTGCATTATAGCTTTTTAGTTTTTCATATTAACTAGTGTCAAGTTAATTAATTTTAATGAATGATACGAGTATATTTTCTTAAATTTCCGTAAAAAATTCACTTTTATGAGACCAACCGGACTTTTTGAGAGAACTTGCAGTGATTTTACACTTTTTTCTTTAATTTTCTACACATCAAGAATAAAATAAACGAAAACTGATAATTTTCTATAATTTACCGCCAAGAAGAAAATAATAATTGATACCACCAATCAATCAAAAAGCTATTATTCTTTTAAAGAGTTAGAAAAACCTGTGACGTCACTTGCTTATAATTTCTGACTTTTTTTGGGGTTTTTTTAAGTCATATTTTTTTCTTTTTAAAGAATTTGTGTCTTGGAATTACCAGTTAATAATGTTAATTTCCTATTCAAAAAGTGTGTCTACAAAATTTTACCTTGATTCCTTCCTTGCAGCCTGGTGCTGCTTCTAATATTGTTGTCTTGTCCACTACCGTCCTCCATATGCCAAGTATATTCCATTTTAACTTAGAATAACATTTTAAATTTATAATTCAGTGTTCTAGAATCCCATTTTCATCCGACTGCGCCAGGGGGGTTATGTTTTTAAAACACTATGTAACGTCCACAGATCCGGCAGGACACATCATTTAAGTTCATTCAAATTAAATACGGTTTTACACACCACATAATTGGCCAATGTTAAACACAGTTTTCACTTTTAAATCACATAATTTCACTGCGAAATTAGTATGGTCGGCGAACCGTCACTATAGTTTTAAATATGCCAAGACCGTATTAATTAAAGAGTTAAAATTAAATGTACTTTAAAATACAGTTAAACACTTTTTTGATTACAAACTTTTTTCTATTCTCGCGCTATTATTTAAAAATCGAACCTCTTTTGTTCAAAAAGACAATACGCTCGCGTTCTTTTAAAAAAAAACTTATTTGTTCAATAAAACGTCAGTCAACAACTTGAACGTTGGAGGCACTGGCCGCATAGAGCGTCTTCACCCTGCGTGCGACAGAGGCGGTGAATGGAACGGGCAACGAGAGAGAAAGGGACGCACGTATTTGGTTTTTCACGGTTTTCACGAAAAACATTTGCGGTTAGGGGCGGCGACTGGCCAATGGGAGGGCAGGATTTTGAAAATGGTAATCGCTGTTCTGATTTTTGTGGGTGGCGATTCGGTGGGTAAATAAATACAACGTGAACATGTCTATAAAGTACGAGTATACATAGGTCTATAAAAACGTTTGATTCGGTTTGATATTTTACAGGTTTCAAAATGACCTTTTAATATTTTCACTGTGCCATTTTGTTGTGAAGATTCGTGAAGTCTTGGGACTGATGAAGAGATACGATGAAATTCAGTATGCTGCAGTAGTATGATAAATAAAATTAGTTACATTAGGTAAGCGCAAATGGTTTGAGAATCGATACGCGGTTGCTCAAAGAAAAAAATAAAGGATAGACTAACAAAATTATAAAAATGTATAAAAAACTAATTTAATTTTTAGTTTTTTTTTTCATAAAACCTACCTAATAGATGATAAGATAAAATAAGATAATTTATTTATTTGCTTAAAATATGGTATACATGGCTACTTGAATATTCACATTCTTTGGACAAAAAAAATATGTGTAGAGATATTTTGCTGCATCGTGAAAAAGTTATCATCTCATGTAGAGCCAGCTTCGAACTCTAAAAGCCTTAACTCTACGAGCCCTAACGAAACATTCTAAATGTGACAACACCCTAGAGAATATGAATTTGATTTTACTAAAAAAAGTAATTTCCAAAGATTCGTAACACCGCTCAGCTGTAAAATTTCAAATGCAAGGGTGATATATCAAAACCAATGGACCATGTCAAGGGTATAGGTAGCCATATTGATCAGGTGTCGGCGATGATGTGTGACGGACACCTGGCACCTATAGCAGACGGTGATACAGTTCGATTCTCGGTGGGGTCAATTGGCTGTCAATTATTCGAGGATTGTGTGACGTAGTAAGAATAATACTTGAACAAGAGAGTCTTACGCCCGTATTCACAAACGATGCTTACTTATCATCATTCATCATCATTTCAGTCACATGTATGGAGTTTGACAGATTTTTGACGTTTGTTAAAGTAAGATGGCAACCCAGCCTTATTGTCTACAACCTATTGGCCAGCGTGGGGAGTGTAGGAAAAATCCTCCATTTGCCTCTGGTCAATTAGAGGGTCGTGCTCCTGCACTGGAGACTAAAATATCTGATTATGATGATGGAAAGCATTGGGGGAGGCCTATGTTCAGCAGTGGACGTCCTATGGCTGAAATGATGATGATGATTATGATGAAGAAGCCTTGATATGAGTAGTACCACAGAATAATAATAAGTACTACGTACAGAAGTTTTACTTCGCGAAGGTATTTTAAAAAATGTATGCTAGCCTGTCTCAAGAGTCAAGCATCATTTTGTTGACAAACGTCAGTGATCGGCACTGCGCCGAAGCTATAGGGCTGACTTCGGTAAAATGATGTGACGTGAGGTGCCAAACTGCGGAAAATGGCGGAGGAAATACATGATTTAGCATGAATTATCATGAATAATATTAACTACTTATTTACCTCTCAGTGGCTTGAGGCAACTTAAAAAAGTACATTCTGTGTTTTTATTATTATTTAGGCAGTTAAATACTGCACAGTATTTAGTACACCATTTCTTTATTTTCTTCCATCATACACAAGAATACGCGTGCGTGAGTCAATGTTCGCTCGTATGTGAGGCCTTGTCGAATAATATCCTGTAGGTGGGCCATCGTGCGTGTTTTGTTTTCGATGTAAACTCGTGGAGATGAACAGGCCTGGTAGTACATCCAACTACTAAAAACTAATTATTGTTGAAGCGCTTAACTGTTTATTATGTGGTCAAATAAAGATTTTAAATAAATAATTAAATAACTCAGTCAGCGTCTGAGGTTTGGAAGCGGCACGGGAGGGTTGACATTGACTATCCACGCCAACTGACTGTAACAATTTTGCAAACAATTAAGGTCAGTTAACTTACAGTTAAAGGCTTGTATACCGACACTTGTGCTCTATGGTTATAAAGTACCCTTTTAACGCTTCACTACTTCTTTTCATTAATATTTATCAGTTCACCACGATTAAATTAATTTGGGCCACAACATTGCTTGTGAAATACACCGTTTATACATACATACACCTGCTCTACAAAATCCAATAAAATATGCAGAATATCTAGAGTACATTAGCTAAATATGTATGTGTGCCAAAAGCTCATCATCATCATCATTTCAGCCACAGGACGTCCACTGCTGAACATAGGCCTCCCACAATGATTTCCTTAATTACCGTTTGGCAGTGGTAATAAAGCTCTGTCTGAAAAAGTAACGTAAATCGACAGCATTAATCCCGAATTATTTAAATAGAATTACAAGCTTTTAGTCAGACAAAATTCACGAGCCAAAACTTGACAAAAATGCGGCGTTTTGTTACAGATTTCCTATAGTCACCTTCTGGCTCCATCATCAGATCAGCTTCATTGTCATCCGAATTAGATTTCTATGTAAAGTTTCAGCTTAATCGGTTGTCAGGAATGGGTCTAATTTGACTTGCAAGATACCCAAAATTTTAATAAAAGCTTATAAAAAGCGACGTTAACGTTAACACCACTTGACTTCAAGTCAAGTGTCTCTATTTACGAGTATTGTGTGTGTGTATTTACTTTGAGGACGAGGAAGACCCTTCTTAAAGAAGGCCAAGTCAACAAGGCGACGACCTGGGTCCGAGCCGCCTGGAGACGCATGATACGGAGGGCCAACCCTAAATAAAATGGGAATGGGCCAGGCAAACAAGAAGAAGCAGAACAAAGCAGGTATTTGACTGCAACCACACCTGATGCTAAGTGAGATGCAGTCTAGGATGGTACACACCTGCTCTCTAAGTGCCTATTCACTCTCACCTTGTTACATGCTATAAGATTTGCCTTTAGGCCCGGTTTCCACCAAGGCTCGGTTCCAGAGCGAAGCGGAGATATGATTTGAATAACCAATCAGATTTCATTATTTTCACTACTCCTATCCGCGCGCCGCGCAGCCGCCGCTGTCAAATTCTATAGAAAAATTTGACGAGCCGACACTTCTCCGCCCTGTTCCGTTCCGCCTTGGTGGCGACCGGGCCTTATGCAGGCACCTGTTTACAATAAAACACCCTGTATTTAAACTTTCTTCGCAATCCCCACGACCCTTGACCGTAGAACCAACACGGATTGACATATCCGCACACAATTTAGCGTGCTTAATTGGAGCGTTTGGGCAAGCGTTTGATCGCTGCCCACCGGTGGGCATACTGGGGATAGAGTCAGTAGGTATTCTCAGGAAGAACTTACATCTGTGTGCTTACCATGAGTTTACGTTAGGTGTGCTCGCTAGCGACTGCGTAAAAAAATGACATTTAATTGTATGACATATTGTGCAGCGCGCCTAGCGGCTACTTTCAAGAAACAAAATCTTCATTTTGACGTACTCGCTAGCGAATACACCTAACGTAAACTCATGGTAGGTACACAGATTTGAATATCGCAAGAAGAAAGTTGGTTACAAGAGAGTCGCAAGTTTTTTCACGAAGTTCTTTTTACATATTACGTATCTAAGAGCTATGTGGAAAATCAACTTTAGATGTGTAGATAGAAGCGTTAATAAATCTGGGGTAGACCCTTGCCAGAAATTCAAGATTTTTGATGAGTAAATTTTGAAATAAACATTCTGAAATTTTTGGAAACTTTAACTGTAAGGGTCAATTTGTACGAAAGAACCTCCTCGCATTTGTTTTCGAAGGTAGAGACACATTTTAGAGTTGAAATTTTGTGGGTAATTTGACTCTTTTGTTATTTGTTGACGTATCGAATAAAGTGTAAGTTGAGAAAGGCAGTTGAGCTTTAAAAATCACACTAATATTATATGCGAAAGTTTGTTAGTGTGTACGTTTGTTACTTCTTCACGTTACGGCTGGCGCCCAAACTGGCGCGACTTTAATACAATTTGGTATGGAGTTAGCTGACACCCTGGATTAACACGTAGGCTACGTTTTACCGCGGGTAAAGTCGCGGAGCGCAGCTAGTAAATAAGATTAGAACGAGCTTGCTGACCCTTCTTGCCTTGTGCCCTAAACACAGTGCGTGACGATAATTACAGTCGTGGGAGTTGTAATCTACACTAATATTGTAAACGGAGGGTTTGTTATTATAAATTATATTAGCTTTGTTGGGCGATCATCAAAACAATTATTAGAGGGGTAGACAGGTCTTTGATTTAAAAAGTGCAATCTTTATTTGAACAATAAAATTGTACTCAAATTGTAGGTACTATTGTAATGTTAATTCGTTCGTTCGTTTCAGCCCAATGACGTCCACTGCTGGACAAAACCGGTCCAACGCTACCCGCATCTAGTGCTTAATTTCCGTGACCTTAACCAGATCATCAGTCGACCGAGTGGGAGGTTTGTCCATGTTTTCCGGTTCGTGACCGTCACTCCGAGAAGTTTTCCCTCGGCCATCAATTATATTACTGTATATT